TTATGCTTACTTGAAATGTTTGCAATATACAGTGCGATCTTAATACAGTATAATACAACTATTTTAAGGAATTTATATAATCGAATTTCTCGTGTCGCCCAAAGCTTAATTATGCGCCACCCTGTATATAGGAATTAAAATAGATATTACTGCAAGCTCATACTGTACAATTAGGGTAAGTGACTTCACGCAGCCACACCCTCCCAAGCCAGATGCAGGAAGTGAATTGAGTAGCAACTAGATACGAATCAACATACCTGCTGTCTTACTTGCCTGTTGTCTGTTCAGTACAGGTTGGCCTTAGGTGTGCTCATGCAGGATAGAGAAAACACATTGTCATTAGATAGTTTTAACTATTGGTTTTCACAAATCCACCAATGTCTTTGTTTATCCTCCATATAATAGTTATGACAAGTTAAAAAAAAAAAAGTCGAGTTCAAATACTTTTAAAATGAATAATATACTGTACCTGTATAACAGCACTGCACCAAATTCACAGATTATACAGTATTTAGATAAGCTTTTAGTGATTATGGGAAATTCGATGATAAAATAATAATGATACAACTTCATTAAAATACACGAATCGAGACATGATCATACAGTTATGTTGCGAATATTTCAGTAGGAAGCAGAAAGCCAGGAATGCAAACCAAATCCTGTGCTGTACTTTTTTCAGCTAGTTTATGATAAAAATATGCTGTACTTCGCAGTTCGTAATTGAAACCAAATAAATACAATTGATTACTCAAGGAAAAAAAAACTTAAAACGTTTTATTTTGGTTAACATAAAAAAAATGCAATAACTTTTTTCCACCCTGTTAAGGGGGATAAACGTTACTACCTAGAGCACACTTCCAGTAGATAAGAGGGTACAGTATATGGTGGTGGTGGTGGGGGAGATAGTGGTGTGTATCAGGACTGAGGGGTTGGAGACACTTATAGTGAAGTATGTTGTTTTGTGGTGGGAGATAGTGAAGTTTGTGTGGATGACGTGTGGTGACACTGCCTTCTTCCCAGTGGGTCGGTCCATCTTACATCACTTCATAAGTCAACCCGCCTTTATTTGCTGAACTCTCTGAACTCGTTGCTTCATTTCTTGCCGTACGTGGAGATAAAAGTCATCTGCGAGATAAACTTGCATAATCATTTTTTCCGTCAGTAACGTTCAGTATTATGCAAGTTCTTACTGGTGTTAATAAGCACACGATGTACGCAATATTGATGTAGAGGTTGGATACCTTTACGATTTGTCGCTGTATTTGTTGGTAATTTAAGAAAATGAGCATGTTACTCGCCAGCGGAGTCGAGTTATAGTGTCGTCTGTCCATTATTTATTCAGTATTATGTCGGCAGTATATCCCTTGAGCAGAAAGAAATATATTGTTCATTATTTGTGTATATGCAGTATTCACCATGACAACTGCAGATGCTATAGTTTTAGGATCAAACTTTCAAAGACGAGGATGGTTGTCCCTTTAATCGTTCAATTCTGAACACTAATCATCATGGGAACCAGGCTTATTATTTCATTTTTTGGCGTTTTCTCTTTCGAACTTGGATCACCTTTTTGAAGGAAAACTAGGTGAAGCAAAAGAGAGAGGCACAGTGACTAGTGTTAGCTGTGGCGTCATGCGGAACACAACAGACCGGGGTGAAAGTCCTCCCTCCCAGTCGTCACAGTTACGCCGGAAGCCATTTGACGTTTCCAACCTTTACAAAATGGAAAATACAAAACATGATGTATGCCATGGATAGAATTAAGTGATCAGTGCGAATGGGGAGTTTTTGGTGTTTGAAAGTGTAGACATTTCAATACTTGTCTGACTGTTATGATAATGTAAGTATTACGTCAGGTTTGGGCAGCTACACCGTGTGCTCTTGTAAATCACTGTGACGTGCGCTTACCCCGCCTTCACTGTAACGGGTGACGACCATGAAGCGGTGGATGGGGAGGCAGCCAGACGTCTGCATAATGAGCGATGAGGGTTTTCGTGGTTAGAGGGTAGGGGGTTTTAATAAATGTGATCATAGGATACATGAAATTATATCCGTAACATGCATTTGGAGACGACGCCTTGAATACTAGTGAGTGTTGCTTTCAAATATCTGTTGCTCCACAGCACGCGCAGTGACACACTCTAGTTTACCAGTTCTTCATCTGACACTAGTGGCTGTTTCGTTGTACAGAGTGCTAAGGAAACCTTTACGCTAAGCCTTCACTTAGTTTCAGAACAACCGCCTTAAACGCGCCAACTTCTTATATCTACTTGTGTCGACCATTACTCTCCCTATCGTATCTAACCTCTTATCTCCAGATTGAGCCCCCCCTTCATCCTCCTCCGGGAATGGTCGGATTTGCCCCCAAAATGGGTCGTGCTTTGCTCCAAGAGACGTGACTGTTTATCCCTTGATTGGGACACATTTACCTCAAACTGTGGGCTATATTAACTTACCGTCTTGTATGTGGACATTCATGTTACCTTCACTCACTCTTCAACCATACCCATCTACTTATTTCCTTCTGGTTCTCTTCCTTCACCATTTATATTTTCAATATCCCAGATTCGATATCATACTTTCTCTCATTTATAGTGCTTTTCTTTTTTGTGCCAATCTTAATACGCCTGTCTCTTGACAAGACCCATCTTGTGATGACTGCCTGAAGTCCCTTTATATTACCAATTCCTCAAAAATTAGAGCTTTTCATCACCAAATTTGGTAGTCGTGATCAACAAATAAGGTGTGCATTATCAAGGAATTTTACTCTGCCCATTGTTGGAAGGGTTGTGACATCTTTAATTTGGAAATAGTGTGACAATCATTATATTTTTGGATCTTCAATTGTTTAATAATTATAGCCTTTTAGTACTAAAACTGTATAGGCTGATCCGTTTTGCATTGGTCATCAATCATATATTATCACTTAATGCGGTAGGTCTGAGCCTAAAACTGTACGGTACATAAAACCAATCTAGCACTGTGATGTTAGTTTACTAAAAATAGTTACAAATAAACTATTATTTAATTATTAAAAAAAATAATCCTAGGTTTGATTTAGCATTTGTACAATATCTTACAACTTGGCAAAGCAGACTATTGTAATTAAGGGTGTGCAGATATTGTTCTGTCGACTGGCTGCACTTAGGTTATCGGGTTTTATGTGTTCCTTGTTTATTCGTAAGTTGTTTACATTCGCTTCCGGCATGTCACGGGTATTTTAGCGTTTCAAATTATTAACTCTTTAATGCCTTCCTACTTTTTTCTGGCAGCACCCTAGTAAACCCCTCCATGTGCTTGCTCTGGAAACAATAAACTGGAGAACGCCTTACGTCATATTGCTGTTGTTTGATCACTACTTTTTCGACATCAAATCTCCCGTTTACACACCCCCACCCCCGTTCCTTTCTCCCTTCCCACCTGTTTCCCTCCTAGACTTGTTCAGAAGTTGGCATGAAACTGTTTGCGCGCGCACAGGACATGTTAATAATAATGTGTTAAAAATTAGTGTCATGCCGACTTATCAAGAGACTTTAAACCTTACACTTTGGTATGACAGATTTTTTGGATCTCGCTCATTCTTAAGGTCTACAGACGTCCCTTCCTGGAAAACTTAATTTTAACTGGAACAACAATTAATGAGTTAACGAATAGCTTAGTTGAAGTAATGTAATTTTTTTATCGCTACACAAATGACGTTTCTGTACAAAGCATTTAAAACCGTTGAAAATAAATAATAAAGTACAGTACTCACAATGATGATTGTGATGCTTGGGTTGAGTGTGGCTGGAGGTCATAATGTATGTTCTGGAGAGTAACAAAATAGTTGTAAATTGTCATCTTGTGTGAAAAACTATAAGTACAAGAGCGCAGTTATGTAGTAGGCAGCTATCAAACAGGGAGGTACTACATCTTGGGAAGATGTTGAAAGTATGTGTTGTCTAATGGTAGACCCTGCTGCCATATGGCATCACAAAAATTGCGACGAAGTCCCAGGTTGCTGATTATGACTTTCTGCCTCACTTACACACAATTGCAGGGTCTCAATTGTTTCTCTTGCTTTGACAACACTATATATATATATATATATATATATATATATATATATATATATATATATATATATATATATATATATATATATATATATATATATATATAATATATATATATATATATATATATATATATATATATATATATATATATATATATATATATATATATATATAATATATATATATATATATATATATATATAATTATATATATATATAATATATATATATATATATATATATATATATATATATATATATATATATATATATATACATATATATATAAATATATAATTTATATTATATATTTAATTATTTTTTTATTATATATATATATATATATATATTATATTTATATTATATTTATATTATATAAATTATTTATTTTATTATTATTATATTCTTTCTCCATAGTTTTTACATATATTTTTAATTGATTTTGACTGTCTTGATGTGGGTCATTAAAAATGACTTGTGCCCGGGGAAAAAAAAGGTTTTTGTGCTGTCCGTTTTCGGAATAATACACGCCGCGGTGCAGTGGACTGGTGCCGAATGGCGAATACTGTATACTGTAATGGTGTCTGGTAGCAACCAACAATTAGGAAGGTGGATGATATACTGTACAGCAGGGGTGGGCAATTATTTTCGATGGCGGGCCACTTTATGAATGGTGGCACACTTCGTGGGCCACAGGTTAACAGCGACGAGCCAGTATTGCTGCTATGTCCACCCAACTTCCAAAATTGTCTTTTCTGTAATTAATAAGAATTTTTTTTTATGATTGCCAAATGCAGTGGCGGGCCACAGAAATAATTTGGCGGGCCAAATGTGGCCCGCGGGCCATACTCTGCCCACCCCTGCTGTACAGGGTACAGGTATTTGGAAAATCTTGCTTCTATTAATTTAAGATTTTTTTTTATTTATTTATTTTTTTTCCAGGGAGCTCCGCTGTGGTCGATTTTTCTAAGCTTCAAATAACAGGCTGCAATGAAGGGGGGTCCAAGTGCATCTTCAGAAAGGGCAGGAATGCCAGCATATCACTACCCTTCACACCAAGTAAGAATGATGCATTATACTTCATGAAAGAATGATGTACAGTGCCCCTTGAGAGCCCCTCTTTTAGGAGATATTTTAATCATGCAGTGCAATACTTATATGATTTTACTTTTGGTTGTTTGTACAGTACTGTACAGTGGATTAGGATATTCGAAATAAAAAATGTACTGTATAGTGCTTTGCAGTAGGGTATTTGAATATCGGTGTAAGCTGTAATTTTAATTTAGTATAGATTACCTTCCTAATCTTTTACTGTACAGGTATAATTATTGTTCAGGGTGTATAATTTATTTGCCTGATTTTGAAGCTCCATAAAAATATTTACTGTAAAAGACACCATAAAACAGTTTGGTGCAATTAATAAAGCAACTCGGGTAATCTTTTGACATCTATTTGACACGCACAACTGCACTACAGTAAACCTCCACAAGGGCCCCTTTGGTAGCACGTAGACTATCGTGACTGTAGCTGATTTCATTCCAGGTGTTATGAAGCATGTCTAGCGTGATGGAAGTCAGTGCCTCTTTTGTCCGGTGGCTGAACTCTGTGATGTTATTAACCTTTTTTACATACGCTGTGTCCTTGACACATAGCCCCATAAAAAGAAATCCATAGGCGTGATGTCCAGGGAATAAGGAGGCCACGGAATGGGACCATCACACTCGATCCAACAAGTAGGGAAGTTTTCATTGAGGAATTTGCGCACTTGTCAAAAGATTACCCGAGTTCCTTTATTAACTGCACCAAACTGTTTTATGGTGTTTTTTTTTACAGTAAAATTTGTATTGAGCTTCATAATTAGGTGAGTAAGTTTTAGACACCATGTATTATAAACCAGAACTTGTATGTATTGGATAATGGAGAAAAATTGAGATAATTGATCTTTTTATAGTATCGGTCTCTTGTCACCATTGTCGTGCCTAATCTGTTTTTCTGCAGAGGCTGAAGTGCTATCAGTGACAGCTAAGGTGGAAGGCATCCTTGGACCCATTCCTGTGCCCTTCCAGTTAGATAACCCTAATGGCTGTGTGAATTCCGGGTTACAATGTCCTCTTCAGGCAAACCAACTTAGTACCTACACATCAGCAATCGAAGTTAAAAATGTTTATCCTTCAGTAAGTATAAATAATTTTTTATAAGAAATTGAATTGCGTTTAATATATGTTTAGTAAATTTGTAAGGATTTCGTTAACCGAATTGAAGATCCTTATGGCGTTTATAAAGTCCCTATCTATTTCAGTTAAATAATGGGTAACTGTGTTAAATTCAATTCTAAAACAATAGCATTTTGTACTGCATTTACAGCATCTTCCGAGACACGTGGACGTCCAGATCCTGGTTCATTATTAACAGATCCTGTTCTTTGGAATTTATTCAACAATTTGCGTATTGTCTTGTCTGTAGGACCTGGCTTATGAGATTTTCTTTGAAACTTCTCTCGAATTTCTTTCCTTGAATACGCAGTGTTACCACCAGCACATGTTCTTGCACATTATCTTCATGGAGTTCTGCAAAAAAAAAAAAAAAATTAAACCATTATATTACTGAAATAGATAAGGACTTTATAAACACCCTGTACTGTATATATAAATATATATATATACAGTACTGTATAATATATATATTTATCATGTATAATTCACAAGGAAACGATTAGTGGAGATTCGGCTGAAGAGGGTTTTGTGTACAATATACAAAGTGAAAAGTTAAAAAGAATCGGGTACAGGAAGTACATTTTGTCAGTACGGGTAGGTGGTGAGGGGAAATAAAGGAGTAAATAGTTATAGGAGGCAGTGGTTCATCTCTTCCAAAATAATCTATACTGAGAGGGAATGCCATTGCCTGCTACATAATATTATAGTATACAGGTACCTGTATAATTGTAACTGCCATAGAATACTGGTAATTTACTGTATTTTGTTGTATAACAATACAGGTAACCTTTATAGTATAAAGTACTGGAGTACTCTTCTATTTATATAGAGCTTTTAATTCATGGCATAATACTGTACGGTACTCTCATTCTGGATTAAGTTTTATAGTAAGAGTACAGTATGTCTCGCAACATACTAGACAGCTGCAGTACTTTTTTTTTATCTCTAGACATTATAATTTGTAAATCATAAATTAATGTACTTTTAACTGCACACATGTGTTGACACTTGGAGGATGCTCTACACTTTTTCCCAAAAAAATTTCCTTGTTAATTCCGTCAGTTTTTGTTGTCCTCCATTCAAGATTCCTGGTGGTTAGAGTTCAGGTCTCAAGGTGAAGCCCTCCAAACGGATTATACATAAAGACTCATTTGCTAGCTCATCAGATTCATTGTCTTTATTTCCTGGAGAGGGTTCAGTGGAGATAGATACTTTCTTTGATTGGGAACATATATTTGAAACAGTTCAAGGAATTCTGTAGTTACTTTATAGTGACACCTATTTATCAAATCAGGATTTGGTTTCTTTCCATACTTAGGCTTTGACTAAATCCTATTCAGGGTTTGATCTTGGTAGGTATATACTATAGTTAGTTTCCTAAAAAGAAAATTCTCAGTTTTACAAACTATATGTTTAAGCAAGTCATTTCTGCCAAGTATAGTAAATCCTGCCCAATTCATGGGGTTACATTCTTACAGACATCACAGATTGTAAATATACCATATCAATTACAGTAATTGTATATAAATTGTACCTACGGTGAAAATGACGTAAAATATTACCCTAAAATTCACTTGTCCCATAATGTAATCAGTACTGTATTTTCAATTATTGATGTAACAAATGTACCAGTATGTTTCCCATGGCAAGGTAACCATCACATCACAAGGGATTTTAAAAGGGTCCAGACATTATGGGTGAGGAATCTGCTTTTACAGTATACTGGATGTCTTGTCAACTTGCATAATGTCTTTACCCTGATAATTAATTAAAGCCCTGCAGTAGTAAGAAGGCTGTCAAGTAGCATTCAGTGTGCTGGGTCTCAAACAATCATTCGCCAGAAACTTGTTGGCCATAAATTGAAGATTTTGTTCTTGGAACAGTTTGAATCAGACCAGCTGTCATTAAACTGGTACTTTTGGCCAATGGCCAGTTGTAAAATGAAAACCTTCATCATGTGTTAAATACATTGGCATTCTGATACAGTGCATGTATGTACTGCCTCAATTGCCTGCTAGCACTTAAATATTGAACCTATTTTTTATGAATTGTATGTATTTTATTACTTGTGTATGATCAGAATGAATGTTCTGTTTTCTAGTATCCTTGTTTACCGTTTCTCTTTCGCTCTATTCTGTCTAACCCCCTCCCCCCTTTTTTTTATTTAATTATTGATGTATTATTTATCTCCTATTTCCCCCCTCAACATTGCTAACAAACTTATCTGTTCCCAGATATCGCTGAAAGTGAGATGGCAATTGCTGGATGAGCACAACAACAAAATAGTGTGTCTTGAAATCCCCGTGAAAATTGAAAGTTCACGTAAATGATGTACAGTATACAGTACTATTTCTGAGGTAGTTTATCCCTGCCGCTTTATAAGAAAATTACAATTACTGTTTAAGAATTCCATATTCTTTAAAACTGAAAGGATCCTTATGTAAAGAAAATATTCCAATAATAATTACTGAAAATTAAACTCGTGCTGCCTGTAGACCTAACCTTGTTGCTGTTGAATATAACACTGTACATACTGTACTGTATCTGGTACAGTGTCAGTATTATTACTGATCATATTTTTTTATATAGTACAGTACAGTATATCAAGTATAACAAAACTACTGAATTTACTGATAATAGTGAAGGGTCACATGAGTGAGTTGTTTAATTATAGTTATTGTATTAATTATTGAATCATGAGTAGCTGTACATTAAGAATAAAGTGTACAGGGTACAGTATAGTACAGTACAGTACAGTACAGTACAGTACAGTAGTTCCTGTATTCAAAGCAAGGTGATTTGGTGACCAAACCGTTTTTTAATCCTAAATATTAGGTATGACGGGAACCATTCCTACATTCTTTAAATATCATATACAGTAATTTACACAGGAACTGAAACAGTTGCTTGTGCTTACATAATAGAGGTGCAGAATAGTGCACAGGTTTAAAAAATAAAGAATGCCTGAAGAGGTGAGCTATGTTGTCTTTTTTATCCCCCTCCCCCTACTCTTTCACGCCTTGCCCAATTCAATTTCAATTGTTTATTCCTTGATAGAGGAAGCGGGATCCTAGTGCTGTCACTAGGTACCCCTGTACAATAACCCCAGAAGCATCTGGCAAGTATGACAAGTATATACAGTATAAATATTATAAAGGGGCTTTCTAAAGCCTAAGGAGAGAAGGATATTCCTTTAACACATAATCAATGTTATTTACATAATATCTGGCCAGTATGGGGAGGATCATCGTGTCTCCGTCGTGGAGTGGAGTGGTGGTCCAGCAGGCGTCACGGAAGCGTTGTGTGTGTGTGTGTGTGTGTGTGGGGACATCTTGGGAGGTAGTGGATAAGGGTGCGGCTGTCGGGTCTTCTGCATAATGCACAAGGGCGTTGCTCAGGGGATGCGGGGAAACCAATCTCCCAAGCAAAGTCATTCCCAATGATGATACAGGCAGCAATCACGTCCCCTTTCCGCGACCCTTTCCCATAGACATACGAGAGGTCAGGAAGTTTATGGAGGACATCGTACCAGGTGGGCGGGGAGTCCAGGGGGATGGCTGCAACAGTACTTTGTTTCCTGTGGTTATGGTGGTCCACAAACTCGCTTTGCAAGCAAGGGGATGTGGAACCAGGTTCTAAACCCAGTGAAATTACAGGCAAGTTTCTTTATACTATTTGGCTCTGTCTATTGTTAGTAACTGAGGACCTGGATGTTCCTGGACTGACACACTACACTCCAGAGTAATGGTTAAGGGGAGCGTCCGGCTGAAGCGAAAAATCTATTAATAATTGATCAATTTATATCAATTTCCTGTCGGCAATTAAGGACACCAGATACATTGTTGCTATACCCCTGAATCGGTTCTTCCTGATACTTGATTTTCTCTAATATTCTTAAAAAATTTCAAAATCCTACTTCTCCATAATCTTGCTAAATTACGTTGAAATCCAAGTGGAGTATAGGTAAGTTACTTCTCTTGAACGTATCTTAGACATTTTTTATCATTGCTTTTATTTTGGGTGTATGATTTTTTTTCCTAACTTAACATTTTTTCCTCCAAATATTCATAAAAATAAAATTGGGAAATAATAAACCAAACCAAATATAAAGAAAATCTATGTTTAGCTATGCGAAATTTTATTCTACTACGTTTAGCGATGTGAAATTTTATTCTACTACAGGGTACTTAGTTTTTTGTTTTATTAGACTCGGTTCCTAAATGGCTGAGCCTGTGGGATTTGAAGGTTAGAAAAACTCGTTCTGAGATACAGGCCGATAGGATGGCGCATGAGCAACAGACAGTCGAACCTCTCCCTCGCTGCTTTTGTGTGTAACTGTGGTGTATAAGACCAAACTGTCACTGTGGTTCTGCTCTTAGCTTGTTGAGAAAGGTGCCATATACTGATTTTTACCAAATAATTGGGATTACTTTACACCCAAAATATTATTACAATTACTTTTATACTGCTTTTGCTATGTAAACAGAAGGGGGAGTAGAATAATCATGCATAGCGACATAAATATTATGAATTATGAAATCAAAATACAGTGACCCCTCCGTTAACGAACTCAATCCGTTCCAGAAGGTCGTTCGTTAACCGAAAAGTTCGTTAACCGAAACCATTGTTTCATTGGGTTTTTGGGTAAATGGTTCCAGCTCACCGAAAATTTTCTAAATTCAACAAAAATGGTAGAAAAGTTCACTTACTTTGAGGTGTGTATGTAGAAGGCTCCTGGATGATGATGATGATGATGGGATTTAGAATGGGGGTGGAGGAGAAGGAAAAAGAGAAGGCATTGGGGTGGAAGAGAAGTCACCCCATGGCGCCATTTCACCCATAAAATTTTAGCTCTCTTGGTGTAATTCAAGATTATTTTCTTTAAATCAACACTGCACTGCATTATATATTGTCAATATGTAAAATATATTTCAAAATGACCAATAATTTGCCTGGAAACACAGAAAAAAAGCGTTTAGTTGAAGAGAGTCTCAAGCAAGATGTTACCTCCACTGAAAACAGAGAGAGACTAACTCCTGTTTGCTGTGTTGAGAGGCTGGATGCCGCACATTAAACTAGTCACTTTACCTTCAGTTATGTTCAATAATTGTTAAAATGACTAAAAAATTGAATATTAAACTTGTAAAATTATTGAATAGTATAAACTTCTTGATATTTACTAAAATAGTAAGGAATTTAAGCCCTAGAACCGATTAATGTATTGGCGGACTGATACTAAAGCTGGTTGCCTGGTAAGTGCAAGAGAAAACATGTTGAGGTCGGTTCGTAAGAACTTCGTTAACCGAATTTTTTTTCGTTAACCGAATTGAAGATCCTTATGGAAGGCAGTTCGTTAATCGAAATTACGTTAACCGAGGTGTTCGTTAAACGAGGGGTCACTGTACGTCGGCAGATAACCATAGGCAACGGCTTTCCTCAGGAATTTTTCTGAATATTTACGTAATTTTCAGATTTTTATCGTATTTTCAGCCGGATGCTCTCCTTAATACAGTACAGTAAGTCCTCGCTTAACGTCGTCCCACTTAACAGCCCGGTGATCCGATACTACGTCATTTTGCGTTGTCACGGGCTACGTTCTACGGCGCATCATCCGTTCTTATCTAGCCATGCTACGCTCTCTCGGCAAATGACCGCTTGACGCTGCTGCTTGGCGCGAACGCTGCCGGTGACTTCAAGCTGAAGCCTATGCTGATTTCTCGCGCTGCCAACCCATGGGCCCTGAAAAGTTACTCTAAGGATCACCTTCCTGTCATGTACAAGGCAAACAAAAAGGTATGGATAACTGGCGCCATATTTAGCCATTGGTTAAACGTGTGTGCCATCCCTGCACTGAAGGAATACTGTGCCAAGGAGAACCTTAACTTCAAAATTCTAATGATCCTTGACAATGCTCCAGCTCATCCTCCCAATCTCGAAGACTTGCATGACAGTGTAAAAGTTGTATTCCTGCCTCCCAACACGACAGCACTGATGCAGCCTTATGGACCAAGGAGTCATCGCCACATTCAAGGCGTTTTATTTACGCTGTACCATGGCCCAGCTGCTCAAGGCTACAGACGGAGAAAATAAACCAACGATCCGAGAATATTGATATGGCTTCAACATTCTTCATGCAATTGACAACATTGGCAAGGCATGGGAAGAGGTTTCAGAAAATTGCCTGAATGGTGTGTGGGGTAAACTGTGGCCCGAGTGCGTTAACAGTTTTATGGGATTCACGGACTTGGTCCCAGCTGTGAATAGGGATATCCCCAGCTTGGCTAGACAGACAGGCTTTGATGAGCTGGAATTAGAGGATATTGAGGACCTCCTGGCATCCCATACAGAAGAGCTCACCAACGAAGATCTGCAACAATTAACAGGACACAGTCCCGTTGAAGATGACGACGATGAAGAAGAACCTCAATGAACGCTAACTTCTAAGAGGATGGCAGAATCGTTGAACATGTTTCAGCAAGCAATGCAAATGTTTCTAGATGATAACCCAAACAGAGAAAGTAGCTCAAAGGTTCAAAGCATCATTGAGGACAGTCTTGGTTGTTACACTGAGATCTATAAGGAGAAGATGAGTAGCACCAAGCAGTCAACACTGGATTAATTTTTTTGTCGCGGGACAGCAGAAGGAGCTTCTTCACGACAGCCAGCAGCCGAGGAGGAGCGAACATCAACGGAGGAGGAGCAAACAACAACGGAGCAACCAGCGGGGGAGGAACCCCAATCAGCAGGAGGAGGCAACAGCAGAGCCTGTGACTCGCCACCCTCTTCCTCTCCTCCCACCCCCCCTCCTCCACTCCCACCCTCCTCCTCCGCTCCCACCATCCTCCTCCTTCGCTCCACTACCCACCACACTCTACCACCTCCGCCCATCGGTGGGTACCAATACAAACTTAGTACTGTAGTTCTATATACTATTTTCTATAGAAATGGCAATGATTTTCTGTATATGTAACTTTTTTCATGGGGCAAAGGGAGGCTGGGGAACATAACTCCCATATTTTATCGATTATGGGGAAAATTGATCCGCTTAATGTTGTTTCGCATAACGTCACATTTTCAGGAACGTAACCCCGACGTTGAGCGAGGATGCCCTGTATATATATATATATATATACAGTATATATATATATATATATATTTTTTTTTTTTTTTTTACGGGAATTAGCCCACCTGGGCACAGGTTAAATGACCCACAACGGAGCCTGGGGGTTTTAGTAAGATATCCCCTGCGTTATGGAATCCCTGGTTACACAATTTCACCCTTGCAGAATTTTTTAATTATGTATACGTATTACCAAAGATTCAGGGTACGAAAAAAAAACCTGTTACTGAATTTGGGTAAATTAAAAATTAATAAATAAAACTGAAATTTTTAATCCAAAATGTAATACAAAATTTCATGTGGATACTCAGGTAGCCACAAGGCGGCTGTGGTCCCACAACAACAACAGTTTCAGTCTGTTTGAATCTCCAGCCAATGTTCAGCTTTACCTCTTTTTTGTGCATTCTTATTCAAGGATGATGATGGTCCACAGGGAGAGACAGGAGTCAGCAGTGACCCACCTTCTCCCAACCAGTAACTCCAATTTCACCACCTCACCTCACCACATCACCTATAATTCCTTTAACTCAGCACACAACATCATTTCTGGTAAGTCAGATTCGAGTGTTTGTTCATTTATCATCATTATGGACTCATTGTATGTTGTTTAAACCATCAAATTTCGTACATACAGTATATGTGCTTGTTACGTTTTTTGGCCTCTTACTCTTAGTAGCTTTACCAACATCTAACAACAATGCATAGTCCCTCAACTTATGGTTAGCCTTCTTGATGTCGTAGAAAGTGCATTCCTGAAAACCCTCGCATAACCCGAAATTGCATTTTGTATACCCTGTACATGTACTGTATTGAATACTTAGTAAAATGGGAAAAAATGGGATGTTCCATAACCCAA